TTTGGCTAAATCGGAGTCATGGCGAGGTCAATTACTATCTGACGCAGATGTTGTCAGGACATGGATGTTTTCGGACGTATCTTCACCGCTTCAAGCATGATGATTCACCGGAGTGCCCGTCCTGCCCAGGAATCAATGAAGACGCGGAGCACGTTTTCTTTGAGTGCCCACGATTTTACCCACAGCGAGATGAGCTGGAGATAATCCTGAAGAAGAAAATCCAACCAGAGACAATAATAGAAGCAATGCTGTCATCAGAGGCTGCCTGGAACGCCGCAAACACGTTTGCAACAGAAGTCCTTATAGACTTATTGAAGTTTAATAGATATTTCCTAAGTTTCACGTCTCAAGAAGTTCTAGTTTATAAACAAAAAAATTTTTTTTCTCTTTCTACTCACCACTCTGACATAACCTACATATGAAGTTAATTATCGCGAAATTCGTTTTTAGCTGATATCTAATTATTAAAAAAGAAAAATATTTAAAACAGTTGACCTTGGAGGCCATTTCTGTAATTTCCTGTTTCTCTTGAGATTCTTTCAAATGTCATATCTGTAGGAAGTGTATTTGAAGAATATGAATTTTTCAATAATTAACACCCCCGCACTCCTATGTGGGGGAAGAATTTCGTAATATCCTATTCGAGATGATCTCCACATTATAAATAAAAGATTCCTACAAAACTTCGAGTCCATAGAAACTATTGTTTGGAAGTGAGAGTTCTTCATTGTTAACGCTCTCGCAATCCCTTTTGGGGTTGGAATTTGATAAAATCTATTCTTATCTGAACTTGACATCATACGCGAAGATTCCTACCACATTTGGAGTCTGTAGAATTTACAGTTTTGAAATAGAAATTTAACATTCTAACACCCACCGCCACAATCCCTATTGGAAGTAGAATTTCGTAAGATCCTATTCGAGATGATTTCTACATGACAAATAAAAAATTCCTACCAAATTTCGAGTCTGTAGAGGTTACAGTTTGGAAATGGAAATTTAACATTCTAACACTCATCCCCGCAATCCTTATTGGCGGTGGGTTGTTGTAAAATCCGCTCTTAGATCACATCTGCATCACATATGGACTCTGTTATGCAATAGTGTGTTAAGTACATAGGATTTTCATAGCACTTAACACATTAATGCATAACAGTGTCCATATATAGTCTAAAGAAGCTATAGTTTAAAAACGGGAATTTTTCATTGTTAACGTCCCCGCAATCCCCTTTGGAAGATGAATTTCTTAAAATCCGTTCTTAGCTGACCTCTACATAGCAAAAGTAATATTCCTACCAAGTTTCTTGTTTCTAAGTCCTGTTGTTCCCGAGATTTCGTGATGAGTGACTATATTTTTTTTTTTTTTTGTAAATAAAGCAGTTATTTTTTTTAATCGTTGAATTACATTTAATAATAGTTAAAAAATTAGAGTTTCAGAGTTATTTACTTACAGAGCGACTTTCCTTTGCTTGTAAAGAGTTCAAGTCAAGAAATTTTCGAAGTTTCAAATTTTTACTTACCAAAAAATATTCATTTATGTATGATGGAGGGCACATATGAAGATTCTTTGTTAAATTTATTGTAAACTTATTTAAAATAAATTATAATTTCAATATTAACTACAGACGAGAAAATATCAGAAATTATTGATTATAGATAATATTGATGACTTAATCTCCAATTTTAACTCTTCCGCATCGTCATGCTTCAACTATTTATTACAAATACTGTGACATTAATTCGATGAGAATGTAGAGTACATTAATTTTTAAAAATTCAATACAGTTAAATTAGCATAAATAGTGAATCTTTTAAATTGAAAATTTCTAAAAATGAAGAGACAATTGATTAAAAATAAGTCGTTGTGTGTTTAGGTGACAACGAAATTTTGATGTAAGATTATTAGAAAGGATAAAAATGATGTAAAAGTATTAAATTGACACATACATATTACAATTTTTATGATTGTTTTATTTAACAAGAGTTATCATTTATTAATTCATTATACAAGAAGTTTCATTATTTTAAATGTACGAGCGTTAACAAATTATGCGTTAAAAGTAAATAAATTCGCAGATATCAACATTAGTTGATCATTCAGTATTACGTAGAATAGGTTGTCACGATGTTAATATTCAATTATATACTATGTACACAAATGATCGCTTTAAGACAATCAGTATTTCTATTTTAATTATTTATTGAAACTTTCTTCTGAGAATTTTTTCTAATCATATAAATAAAAGTTAGTTTTTTCAATACATAAATGTAGCAGGTTTATTGGTTGATAAACTCTTTGTTTAAAATTTAATCTTACATTATTATATTAGTCAAAAGCGCACAAACTGTCTTTTATGGTTTATTAAGAGTATCTCTCTCTGTGTATAAGTACATTTTTATAGTTATATCTAAAATATTCTCATCCATTCTGTTCAAAACTGTGATATTATTATTTTAAGTAGTTCTAAAATAAAGGCCAACTTTGAAACTCATATTATGTGATAATATATTATTAGTGCTGGTGTGATTGTAATAGCATTTTGATTTCCACCAGTTTGCAGTACAAATTTTTATGAATAAAATATATATTCATTAAACTCACCGCCAAAAACACTGTAAACATTCAAAAAGTCAGAAAGTTATTGCTTTTAGTCCGATTCTTTTAGCTTTTCGAACTATTTTTAGATATATCTTCTAGTTTACATATGTTTGCAACTCTTGCATGTCTTTTCAACGAAACGAATGATTAAGATCGGATTGCAGCATTCGAAAAGACTCTACTGAACTTGAATTTTTTGAAAATTTCGATTGATCGCATTCTTCAAGATTTGGCCATTTGAATTAAATAACGTAAATCGATTAAAACATTGTTTTGTTCTGGAGTTGTCGTTAACGATAAGATAAGAATATTATAAGTTTTTCCAACATTTTTAATTGATTTATATTGTTCTTATTGTAACTTATTGTATATTTCAAAAAGTTTGTCAGCTTTTTGTTTTTAAGGCCTTTTTTGATTTTAGTCCAATTAATTTATTGGTTGAATAACTCGTGTTTGTGGAAAATGTGCAAAAAAAAAACATTTCTTTGGGGCGCTTTGTAATCAAGTGCGTAAAATAAAAATAAATAAATTTTAGTATCTTCTACTTAGGCCGTTTATTAATATTTCTATTGAAATAAAAAGACTTTATTGAGAATTATTTTAAATACAGGTTAAAAATTCATATTATTTATTAATTAATTTTAATCATGTTTAATGATATATATTAAAAAATGCCTTTCTTCACACCTGACACAACATTTATAAGTTAGAAGAGTTCAAGAATGCAGATAAAAAAATTGTTTTCCTACTCGAAAATATGTAAGCTTTTGGGCACAAAGCCAGTCGTTTCTTAGATTTTTTAATAAACTTATCAATTTATCAGAAAAGATAGAAAATTCTTCAGTAGATGCTGTATCAAGAATCTTGATTGATATAATTTTTATTGGCCTATAAAAATAGAAGTTTCTTCCTTTGATTACTTTATTATCATGACTTGATATTGAAAATAACTCACAAAATGTTGAATACTATCTCGAATATTTTTTTTTTTTTTTTTCCTATTTAGAAAAAGAATATAATTTTTATAATGGCATTGAATTTTTTCCAATGTTTTAAAAGAAGACGTTTGTAAATTAGTAGTTGATTATATTGATAATTGGTCCAAAACACATAATTTGTGAGTTAAACTTAGTTTCAGAATTTAATAGAAAATCTACGATACTCTATATTTGTAGGCTTCAATAATTTCCGAAAATTAAAACCAATGAATTTTATTCTGATAAATAATATTGAAATCAAAAAAATTGTGTGAAACAAAATTATAATTTATAAAAATAAAATTTATTAACAATAAATTAATTTTTATTTAATTTACATAAATAAATCTAAAAGATTCAGCTTTTTCTTAATCTATTTAGACACAAAATTATGATATGGCACGCAAGTGTTTGGTCTTATAATTTTGGGACCAGAAGCTACAATATTTCAGATTCAAAAGGTTCGTAATTTGATTGGTCATGTGATGCTTTAATTTCGAATGAGAAATTTGCTTGATTGTTTTTGTTTTTGTATTTGTTTTAATTAACATGAATTACATACAAATAAGTTATTACGATAATAATTCACCTTATCAAATCTAACTACTCGGGATAATATAATCTTGTTAAAAAATTTAGGACTTGGTGACTTTAGTAAAACACTTGAATAATGCGAAAGTGTCCGTAATATGGAATCCCAAGTGACTTCAACTTATTATCATAATCCTAATATTTTTCAAACCTTAAGTTTTATTATAATGAATGGAAGGCACGGAATAGCATTTAAAAAGAATATGAAGGTACTGTTACTTTTAAAAGATATGAATTTTACTTAGGAACGATGGTTATTTATTAACTATCGATCACCATCACCAGTCCAATCACTCGCTGCCCAAGCAGGGAGTGGTGTTTCATATTCCCAGCCTGGACCGCAATATCGCCAAGCATGGAGATACATCACTAAATCTGAAGGCTTAGGATCTCTGTATTTTACCTTACATTCATAACAGTGGGGATCCACAGTGAGTTTATTATCTGCGTATGTTGAATCAGGTGGTTCTGAACCTGTTTGAGTGCCCACTGTAACTTTGAGAGTAGTCGAATTTTTTTGCTCTTGCGACAAATTCTGTTCCTCTTTTGTAAAATTAGTTGTTGGCAATAATAATCCTTCTTTGTCAGTATTTGAATTAGAGACAGTATCCTCTATTTCTAATTTCGATTTAAAAAGATTCATTTCAGAATCCCCGTCCATTCCAAGCCAATTTTCAGCGTTATGAATATTAATAAGGTCCTTAACCAATTCTTCATCAGTTTTACCAATGTTACCGCCTTTACCTTTTTCAGGTCCAAAAACAACATGGTTATACAAAGGATCGTTAACAACTGGAAAACCGAGATACTGCAAATGAACGCGAATTTGATGCATTCTGCCGGTTTGTGGTTTGCAAAGAACTACTGAAGTTTTCCCGTTGTAGCTTAGACGTTTAAAACGAGTAATGCAATCTTTGCCTTTTGGCGATACTTTACAAACTCCAATTTTATAGGAAACCACTTCGATTGCTTCTGAACAAACTACTTCGTCATCCAGAAATTTACCCTCTACACGGCATACGTATTGTTTATGAACCTGCAACATGCAAATGAAAGTTAAAAATTTATAATTTATAATTAGTATTTCAAAAAATAATCTATTATACATCAATGTGGTAAAGTAGAACAAAGTGTTATTGCCTATTTACACTAAAGTGAAGAAGAATATGCTCATTAAGTTAGACTAGTCTTCTCTATAGTGTATGAGCTGATGCGAGAGTGCTTAGTCGATGTTACACCGCGGGATGTGAATAGATTAAGTGTTGAATTATTATTATACAGTGAAATTACGCTAAAATCAACTCCTATTCTCAATTCCAAGAAAAAGTATCATTCTTACATTTTGTCTTTTTTCTGAAAAGTATCATTTTTGACATACGAGCTTTTTGAAGTCCTATTTTAAAGTCCCGTTAAATTGATTTCAGCAGAATTCTAATTCATGATGGGTATATGTCTATATAATTTACATATATATTAATTACATATCATTTTTTATATAATTTAATATAATATATTATGTTCTATGTTATCAAAGATTTTTAATCTTTATTTGTCAACTTTCTACTAGGAAAATGATACGGGAAGTTTTTCAGTATATAATCCTTTTAAAATTTTTAGTTCATTACAAGTGGATTTTGCAAGGTCCTAGAAAGTCATTATGATAATTTCCAAAAAAAACTCCGTAAGTCTGTATGTTTTTTTTGCTATCAAGTTACTCATATAAGTAAGTGTGATTTGATAATATTTTTGACTAAAAATTATATATGAAAGCGTAAGAAAGAAGAAACTTATTTTATAACCACGTTGATCGGTGAATAATTTAGAAAGTTTTAAATTTTGAAAAATAATCAATGATTATCAAACCTGTCGATTCCGAATTTGGTGTTCCATTTGTCTGGCTTTCTTTGGAGTGCGTCCAAACAATAGGATACCACTTGTTAATCGATCCAGCCGATGAATAGTGCGTAAATTCTTCAAGTTATACTCTTTTGCCAGAATAAAAACAACAGTATTGTGCCGATAACGACCACAAGGATGGACCTGTAATCAGAATAAAGTTAAATTAATACTTAATCATATGTACTAGCAAGTCTTCGATAGGTATTAAATTTTTAATTCAGACTTCTTCTATTAGTCCCTTTAAAAAAAATCTGAAAAACGGTTGACTCTGCAGGCTATTCGTGGAACCTCCCGCTATGTACGAGTTCAAAACGCTTGAGAAATTATCTTCTCTTGAGAAGAAAGTTTTGAGCTCGAAGAGCTCAAAAACACAACTTTTATACTTTTTCAAGCTCTTAGAGATTAAAAATCTAGTGGCTGTTGAAAACATACTTTTTTTTTTTAAAATTTGAATTGCAATATCTTCCGATCGAATCAATCGTTTTTAATGGGGCTTGCAGCATTCGACGTCGTTTTTCAAGCACAAAGCGATTACTTCTCACTTATCAAACGATTAGATGTAAAATGTTGAAGTTATTTTGAAAAAGCACTTTTTTGGAATTTAAAAAAATTGAATATCTTACGAACGAATTGACCGATTCTGATGAGACTGGTAGTGTTCGACGCAGTTTTTTGAGCATAAATAATTATTTTGTTACATCAAAAATGATTTGAAAAGAAATTTCGAAGTTATGTAAAATAAACAATTTTTTCGAAATTTTTCGTTATCGATTTCTCTTCAACGCATTAACTAATTTTGATGCGGTTTGCACACAGAAAAAAAAATGTTCTCGAATCAAGTATATAATTTTTTAGAACTTCATCTTCTTGATTTGAGTAAAAAAATTCTTAAATAAAGAAATTTTTACTTGGTTTAAGTAAATATTACTTGATTCAAGAATTTTTCGTTTTGATTCTAGAGAATTACCCTCTTCAAAATTATTTTCTTGGTCCAAGAATTTTTCTGTTCAATCAAGTTAATTTTTTTTCAGTGCAGCAATCAACGTCGTTTTTTGAGTTTAAGTACTGATTGGATTTTGGAATTGATCGTTACATCCGTTTAATAGTTATTCTAAAAAACATTTTGAGTGTAAAAAATTTGTAATTTTCAAGGTAATTTTTTAGGGATGTTTTTATTAAGAACATTTTTGTTCACGAATTTAGTTTAACTATTTTTTACGAATATCAAATTTTCACACATTGAGCCTGTAAGAATAAATTCAAACACAACTGTTAAAACTTAATTAATGTACTTAAGTTCGTTTTAAAATTGTGATTAGTCGCTGATTGTTTTACTTTGTGAGAAACAAAAAAAAAAGTCACAAAGACAAGATTTAATTTGTGTTTCTCAAAATTTATAAAAAAAACTTAAGCCGATTGAATTTTTAAGTTTTTTTCGTCAAATTTTACCGCAATCTGTCGTAAATATTATTAGGTTTTCTAAAAATTTTATTTTGTTTATCATAAAATAAATGAATTTTTTTATAACTTTTATTTTAAAGAAGGTAGTAAATTGAGGGCCGCACTATATCCCACGGTTAACGTGAATTTAACGGTAATTTTTAAAGAAAATTTATTTTCGTGTACAAACATTAATATAGTTAAATCTGAATGATAAACAGAAATTGATTTGAGAAGAATTAGATTAATCATCCCTCCTGTGAGAACGTAAATCATGGCAACGAACCCAGACACAGACAAATGGACAGACTCAGGTAAATGAATTTGAAGCTAGAATAACCACAGTCTTATTGATGAACTCAATGCCATCTGGTCTGACTTCAGACTCAAGCTGTCGAAAGATGTGTAAAATTAGTAACTGCACTATTATCAAAAGTATGTGATCTACATTCACGAGAAGATTATATCGGTGATAAACTACAATCTTGTGAAGAAATGCAGTTATAAAGAAGAATACAAAATAAAACTAAATATTTACGATAGTAACAATAATGTTTCGATAAATTAGTTTTAATATTTTCAGTAATCAAGCTTTTAGTTAATAATTAACGTGTTGTCCCCTATAAAGTGAATTAGACGTTGAAAGAAAGAAAAAAATTATTTCATAATTTTTCAACTTCGTTTTTATCATAAATTTTATTTTTACGACTTTTCAACATCTACTAGGTCGAATCGGTTCAAATGTTTAAGAAATTAAGCTTACTGGAACTTTTTTGAATGACCACATTTTCGGAAACAAATACACACACACATTGAAATTTTGCTGTCTGATGAAATTTCGATTTTTTAGAATTGAACTGAAAACAATAATTTTCCGAATTTTTGAAAATTTTTAATTTTATTCTGACATTAAAAATTAATATTCAAATAGAAAAAGGTATTACCTCTGTTATTTAGATAAAAACGCTTCTTTTGAAACACATAAAAAAAATGCTTTCTCTTGTGTCTATTGAGGGCACCGCAAAATTATATTGTGTGATGATCGAATAAGTATAAAATTTCTAAGAATTGAAAATTCGTAACCTCAAGTGTATCTGATACACTGTAAAAAGAGAGAAAAGAAGGAGAACTTTGAGCACTAGGTTTAGAAGATGTGGGTCACGAATCCTCTCAGTTCGTTTATAAGTTGCAATCCGCTCATGACATTTGTCTTTTAATTCTTTAGTAAAAGAAGGATTACTATTCTAGCTAAGCTTCTATGTAAGTATTAGTGCAAACATCCAAGGAAAGAAATAACTCGATGCAAAAAAAATTTTATTTGAATCAAAATTTTTAAATAGCAAATTATTTGCTATAACTAAAAAAAGTTTTTGTTCTCAATTTTCTAATTAATTATTTCTATGATTTTTTTATTCAACTATACAGTTAATTTCATTTTTTAATTCATCAACTTACCATTGTTAATTAGAAATTTTTTCATCAATAAATTTTTATTCAAAGAAAATAATAATGGAAAATAATCCCCACTTTATCACTAACCAATTAAAAAAATAGATGGTTTTATGAGATATACAAATTTGGCAAAAAATTTTCTCGATTTTTTGAGTGATAGTAGACTTTTAGTAGTAAAAATATTAACGCTTTCAGCACAGAATATATTTTCGTTTTTACCAATCAAATTTTTAAAATTTCGAAATGAAAATTTTCACAATAACGCAAATTTGCGTATTATTATCTAAAACAAGTAGTTAAAATTTTTAAACAGTAAAGAACAAGTTCTCAATATATTTCTGTCATGTATATTCTTAATTGGTCACTTATCAGAACTTTTTTGGATGAACGCGACAAACTCTAAAAATTAAAAAAATTTTAATTCGATTAGCTTAAGAAAGTGATTAATAAAGCTCGTATTTGTTTTCTTATGCATCCTACAACTGTAAAAAAGCAATAAAAAGTGTATTAGATCAAGCTCCTCGATCATATCTCTTCAAAAATAATATGCCTGGAGATAAGTGGCTCAAATTATTTCTGAAGTGACATCCAGAGATTTCTTCAAATAATACCAAAGTTCTATCTGAAAGTAATGCAGCAGTTACTGAAGAAAACATCCGAGATTGGTTTTCAGACTTAAAAAATCATCATTAATAACAGAAGGCGCTATTGATGTTGATGAAAAATCAGTCCCGTATTAGCAATATGGATGAAACATCAGTGTAGCTATGTCTTAAGACAGGAAAATTATTGGAATTAACTGCAGAAAATAATAATTACGTAATCTAACCAGGAAAAGAAAAAAAATATTACTGTGCTCTGTAGTTATCGAGCTGATTTCAAATCATTCGACTGATAATTGTTTTTCCTTATAAAAGATTCCCTCCAAAGAATGTGGCTGTTTCAGTATCTGATGGTTATGTGATTGGACACAGCCCAAATAGCTGGATAAACAATAAACATGTAATACGAACAATAAGAATGGCTTTTATACGCAATTGGTTGAAAACGGTGGCAAGTTTCCTGTTCTGTTATTACTTGATGGTCATTCATCACACGTAAGTCTAAAAGTTTACGATTTTTATAAAGCTCATGTATTATCTTGTATTGCCTTTATTGTCCAATGTTACACACATATTACAACCCCGTGATGTATGAATATTTAGACCGCCTAAAAAGTGCAGGCAAAAAAAAGTAGAAAATCATTTTCAAGTTTTAACAGCAGTAATAACAAAAGCAACTTTTTCTCTCTTGTTTCATGAAGCTTTTAAGGAAGTTTCTAATCCAGGAACAATAATCAAATCTTTTAAGAGCTGCGGTTTATATTCATTCAATCCAAATAAAATTGGTCATACTAATCCTTAATTAAGCTATCAAGCTCAAATTTTTAGCACGTTGTTTCTCATCTACTTTCAGGAAAAAAATCGATGTCTAAATCGGTAACCCACCCGTGCTCACTTTTCTCAAATAGTATTGGATCTGCCCACATATAAATATATTTTTAGTATCCATGAGTACCATTATTTATCTCTAATGTAAGATACAGTAAGTACTTCAAAAACTATTCAAAAATTTAGAAAAAATCCATAGCTATTAAGCTATTTTCATTAGAAAATATATTTGAAAACAACATAAAAAAAAGAAGAGATTGGTTTTAGTTGAAGAAAAGAGGCCGGAAAATGTTAAATGCCACACATGTTTAACATTAAGAGAGTTGACGGACAGTTTTTCTTTAGAATTTCATTTAGTAAATCTTAGTAATCGTAAATAATCCGACGTTGAAAGTAAACTGATAAAGTTTGGAAAATTCGAAAGTGCACATTTTACATTCTTATTTTAGTTTTCAATAATGTATTTTCATTAAGCATTTCACGGATAAAATTAGTATTATTGACATTTAAAATAATAAATTTATTTTAAAGAAGTATAAGAGATAGCTTCTATTAAAATTTCAGTAGACTAGATAGTATATTTTGAAAATTGTAGCATAGAAGATAATCTTAATTTTCGTTTTTTTCTTAAAAATCGGTTTCCGATTTGAGGATAACAATTAAAACATTGTTTATTAAAAACAAATCTTAATAAAGCGTGTTTTTTTTTTTCACTTATATACTAATTCGAAATGTTTTAAAATCATCATGCGTTAAAATTTGGGTGAATTAATTTTATTTGAACTTGAATAAGTATCTGTAGCAAAATATTCGGGGCAGATTCAACATGCTTATTATCGATCTTTGTCTTTACAGACATTGGAAAATTGATCTTAAAGTTATCCTGTGTTTGAAACCGACATTATTTAATACTCTATGATTAAATTTATGAAAATATGACTGTATAGCAAATTAGGAAAACAGTGGACCCTAAAGGCTATCCCTGCAACTTCCCGCTAACTCCATACCTAAACGCGCAACATTTCACTTATTACATTTTTGAGCTCTTCGAGCTCGAAAATATAATTTTCGTGTCATTTTGAGCTCTCCGAGCTGAAAAGTATGATAGACGTTTGATAAAACAATACTTTTTGAATGATCAAACCGCAATAACTTTTGAATAAATGAACCAATTTTCACGCGGTTAGCGGCATTCGACGCAGTTTTTTAAGCTTCATAAAAATTCTTTAAGTTTAAATTGATCAAACTAAGAATTTCGGAGTAACTCCGAAAAAATACTTTCTTCGGTTTTATTTCGACAACGATAACTCCCGAACGAATCAACCGATTTTGATCAGCTTGGCGGCAATCGACGTGGTTTTTTTTATATTAAGAGCTGATTAGTTTTTGGAATCGATCGGTAAAGCCGTTTAAAAGTTATTCCAAAAAAACCACATTTGAAAAAATTTTTTTGTAATTTTTTTTAGATTTCTCAATATCTACCGGTCTGAATCGATCCAAATAAGATTCAAAATTTAAGTTCACTCAAGCCCTTTCGAATGGCGTCAACCGCGATGGAATCGGTTAAGCCGTTCAAAAGTTATGAGAGGTTACATACTTCCACACACACACATACATACATACAGACACCATCGCGGGAATAGTCAGGAAAGCTTTCTAGGACCTCGAAACGGCGAGATCTGATGAAAACTCGATTTTCGAAAAACCGGGTAAAACCAATAACTTCCCGATATTTGAAAATTTTCAATTTTCTTAGCGGGAAGTTAAAAAACTAGTATTAAAGATCAATCATAATTAGTCTTGAATCTTATGCATGATTATGTTTGCATAATATCCACTCACAATATATATGATTTTTCACGTTCATACGTAAATATGCATGATCATACTTGAGTATGTTTGATTTTTCTCGGTTAGTTAAAAATAAAACAATAATTAAAAAAGTGCAAAGCGCTTTAAATTATATCTATTACGACGTTTAAAAGCTCTTTAAGCTCAAAAAATGGTTTTACAACTATTTTAAGCTTTCAAAGCCCCCGAACTGTTGTACATTTTTGAACTCTTCGAACTCAAAAAACTACTTTGTATTCAGCAAAAATGTTTTTTTTGAAAATATTGAACTGCAATAACTTTCGGACAAATCAATCGATTTTAGAATGCTCGAAAAAAAAATTCAATCTGATGAAGAATTGATAAATTATGTACTAAAACCACTTTTTTTTTTTTAATTTTCCAAAATTGAATATCTCAAGAAAAAATTTACTGATTTTGACAAATTTTGCGGCGTCCGACGCAGCTTTTTTAACATTAATAGTTGATTAATTACACCAAAAAACGATTCGAAAAGAAATATCGAAGTTATTTGAAAAAAAAAAAAAACTTTTTTTTTTTCTATTTTTTGACAACGATACAACGATAACTTTCGAACGGATCAACTGATTTTGATGTAATTGGCGCAGCAATTGATGGGGAATTTAAAAAAAAAATTCATCACAACAAATGAATTAATAATTAAATCGAAAGTAATGTGAGAAAAACACTTTTTTTGAAATCTATCGTCGTCGATTTCTCTTCAATGCATAGACCGATTTTGATGTTTGCAGCAATCGATGTTGTTTTTCGAGTTTAAGAGCTGAATAAATCTTGTAATTGATTGTTAATCAATAATAACAATAAGTTATCTATCGGTCGCAAGACAGCCATGGCACTACTACGTGCTGTTGCTTTCACAAAACTGCGTCTTGTTGCAGCACTTTTTTTATTCATTTCCGTGCAGTTTTAGTAATATTTTGTATTTAAAACAGAGTGAGCTCTCAGCTCGAGCTTTTCTTTATATTTTTGTAATATTACTTTATATTTATGCATGATCAAGCATGGCTTCATATAAACCATTTGCGACTTTGCATGAATTATTTATTGTCAAAAGTGATAACTTGATCATGGATAGTTCAAAATCATTCTTGAGAGCTCATATATAACTGCACAAACTAGTTGTAAATATAATTTTTTTTATTTTTATTCATTTTTGGTATTTTTTTAATGGTTTATTAAAAGAAGATTTAAAAGTTAAATTATCTATTGTAATTAATTAAAAATAAAAGTGAAGATAAGAATTAGACAATATAAAAAGAGATCTAAAAATAATTGTTTAAAATTCGTGATTGAATTTGATAAACGAATGAACTAGTACGTGATAAATGAAACTAAATAAAAATTGTTAATAAAAAAGAAGTTGAAAAATAGTGCACTATGAAGAAATAAAATATACTTGGCAGTACAGTTATAACAGTACACCACTTACAGGGATGGAGGCAGGCTTGTTGACAACGACGATGTCCTCATCCATATGTATCACCGTGATCGGCTCCGAGGTGACAGGCACCTCGTGTCTGTAACACACCAATTGTAACCAGCTTAACATGGCTTTGTTTTTTTTTAATTGTAAACTAATAAAATATAATACTAAAACCATTGAAAAATAAAGGAAAAATTTTGACTTTTCAATGATTTTCAACAAGAAGCTATGCATTTCAGCTATAGTCAAATGAAGTGCCTGTTAAAAAATCTTCAACGATTCTAATTTATAGTTTTTAGTTCAGTTTTCGAACAACCACTGGCATTATTTAAGGTTTTTCTTTTTTTTCACAGAAACTTCTTTCTGAGTACAGCTTGTTAAAAATTAGTTATAGAATGATTTCGGAGATTGTTTATTCTATTATTTTTTCAAGTTGAGTATACAATTTACAATTATTAATAGTTGTGATTATAAAACTTTTGCATTTAAAATTATGAAAATAGTTTGATTAAGAAATTATATACGTTAGAACAAAAATAGTCATATCCTTTTAATGGCATATTAATAAAATGATTAACTGTACTTTCCAATCTCTACTCCGAAATATATCTACTCCAAGAAAGTTTTTTAAATTGAAATTAAACATGATTATAAAAGCTAATACTAACATTATAGTAAAACATGTAAAGCATTAACTTTTTGTATCGAAGTAAGTTGATATCAATTAAAATAAATTTAATTGATAAATGAAATTTTACTTTAGATAATTGAATATTTAAAATTTCTATTACTATATTAAATTAATATAAAAGATTCTATCAAAATTAAGTAAAATATAAGCTGATAATTTGATTTGAAGAAAATTATGTCACTCAAGACATTGGGGGTTAATATAAGTTCTTTTTCTTCAAAGTAAATATTTTTGCATGAAACAAATTACATGTTGGCTTTCGGTTCCAAACATCAGCTCATGCGATTTCCATCGTATCAGAAATGTTATAGGTATCATAAAGTATCAACAGAAGTAGATTTGATGATAGGTTCAATGCATGTGATTGCTATTTTCACGGTTACAGTTGATGATGAGGGTAGAATTGATGATAGACAGACTAGAGATAACCATCATCTAAATGAATTGCCTTGACGGCGAAAATTAATCAGTGAATTATTTTGCTGACTTTGTGATTTTATATAGTCAGATTGATGATTGGTTCGGTGATAATTTTTTGTTTGGAAAAAGAAGAGCGATTGATATTTTTGTGGAGATGATAATTGAGATTACAGTAATTGGTGTTTTTTTTTTTACCGGTGAACCGGTTGCAAAGGAAAATAATAGCAAATGTAAATATTGGCAACAAAAAATACCAATTTCTTCACAAGAATGATGAAAGATCAACTAGTATAGAACGTAGCCTTGGTTGTGATGTTGATAACTGTTGAAGTGACGTCGACTGTCCCATTGGCGATACAGGTAGTCTTTTTCGTAGATAACCGTGATTGCTAGGAATCATAGGTTGCATGATTTGAAAGTATCATGATGTAAATGTTCTTTGTACTTGTAAAGAATGTGAAGGTTCATTTCCTGATGGTAATTCAAGGTGAAAAATTAATGACAGACCATCTTCGCAAAAAAGCATGATGTCAAAGTGTACGGAGGTAGTCTTCTATGGAGTATAAACAAGAAATCACGTTTCACCGTATTCTGAGTGTTTGCACTACCAACCCAGATTATTCGGCATGGACGGTTAAGCTATAGCTTAAAATCTTGATGAGTAAAACTCAACTAAACACGGCCTGGTGGTAACTGTAGTTCAGTATTTTCACGAAATAGATCATTAGATCTGAGGACTATGTCAATATTGTCCTAAAAGACGACGTGTTTTTTTGTTGATTTAGCAAGAAAGAAGAAATACATCTACGTGCAAGTTTTAAACTTATAGGTTTAAATTTCGTTCGTGAACGAACTATCTTGGAAAATTTTGTGCAGTTACCTTTTTTTGCTTTTTGATGGATCAAATATACTTTATTTTAATTCAGTTCGGTTTTAGTTATTTCTAACACTGTTCTTCATCGATATTCTATTTTAGGATTGAATTAGAGTTTGTTAATTAGAGTAATTAAGTTAGACTTGGTTAAATCTTATATTTCCGTTGTATTTTAATTACATTTTGTTATAACGTAATTTTCTGGGGCAAAAGTTAAGGGTATTTTTATTTGAAAGTCTCACTCTTATAGAGCAAGATCTTAACTTCTTTTCAGACCTAATTATTTACATGTTAATCTAATTAAATTTATATAAGTATATTTTTTATCAGATTTGCATGTAGATCTATATAGACTAAATTTTAGATCCACTCAGATCAAATTTAAATGAACCATTAACAAATTTGATCTTGGTGCATCTAAGTAAAATTAACGATTTTTCCTGATTATTGCTCAAGATTGGTAACATATATATTGATTGATACGCTTTAATGAATATCACTCGGATATTTCAAATTGTAATAGAATTTGTCTTCAATGTATACAATATAATTTCAAGATTAAATAAAAAAAAATACTGGTTGTACCTAATACATAGTTATGTCAATTAATGAATATTTCTTTACCTGTGAACTACGTTAGCAAGTAAATCATTGTGTCGCAATTTGTAATCAACATCTACTCTTTGATAATTGACTGTTAGAGTTCCAGCACGGATACATCTCTCGTATTCTTCTGCTGGATGAGCTCGAAACTCACGTGCAAATACTTCCAAAATTTTTTCACCAACCCAGCGGCCTTTTGTAAATGTGGTAAACGTGAAGTAATATGGATATACTTTCCGCAATCCTGAAAAAATGTTGAGATTTAAAATCAAGTTTTATCAACACCCTATAATTTATAAAATATTAGCTCATTTCCGCTTGCTTCGCTAGACATTTTATAAATTTGAATTATGAAATCTATACTTAAAATTCAACTGAAATTTTCCTTTTCTGTATGTTGATATGACTTGTGAAATTAGAAAACAATTTAATCCATTCAAATTTTCTGAATAACTTGACTTCAATTAATCGAGTAAGTTTATAAAAATTTCAAAACTGAAGTTTTCGGAAAATATTCGTTTATTATTTACAATTTATAATCTTGTAATTATCAAAATATATTTTTTTTATGAAATTAGTGCTACTATAATCTATAAGTCTATATGAAGTCGGCTGGCTAGTCCGACAGGTATTACTTTTCTACTCAACTACAAACGTTATTCATTAAACAGAAAGACGTGTTAAAAGTATGTAAAAACTTATAAAAGCTAAACTAACTATTATAATGTTATTTTTTTCTTTTACTAGAAAATCGAGTGCGCTTTGCGCACTTTTGTGAAAATATTTATTATCGACAAATTAATTAATCAATATTTTTTACAAATTTTATTCATTAATATTTAACCGTTGCCACGGTAACCGTTGCCAAAGTGGTTACCATAACAACGAAAAGCGATAACAATGATAACGTCACATCAACTTCTTAATAAAAGACTAGTGCATAAAAATATTGATTTAATTACATGAAAAATTTAGATAAATTAAACCTTTATTTTATATTAATTATATTTAAATTTTTTGACCGATAAAAAAAAGAGTTTTTTTCATTTACATTTTAAATTAAGAAAAATTTTGAAATATTAAGCTCGATCAAACCCGATAAAAGTGGAAAAAATTATATGAGCTGCGAAGGGTTAAAGTATTGCAAAAACAAATCGGAGTTTTTTTTTTCTTTTTTTTACTTATAACTTTTCTGGAGTTGAAACTACGGTAATGTAGTTACTGTTACCACTGTTAACATTAATTTTTGTTATATTTTACAGTTATCCAAGTTAACAATTATTGCTCGAATAATTACAACTACAAACACTATACCTATGCTTTACTAAACCCAATAGTATGTATAAAGATCAAATTGGTTTCTAATAATTTTGTAACGAATTTAGTTTAAAAGAGAAAATGATTAAACATACAATTAATCAGCATAACAATTAAAAATATAAAAAACAAATGTAAACTTACCATTTTCGATGTAATAACTAGTCTCATTATAACGATCATCCGTAAATCCAGGTCTCTTAGCTTTCAGAGCTTTCGTTTCCAGTTTAGCCTAGAATAACACAATAAAAAAATCAAATTAATTTTGTCGAAATCAATTTATCTGCAGATATTTTTAAAAATTTCTTGAAGCATTTGGAAATATAATTTATTATATTTTAAGCTCTTCGACCATAAAAATATGAGCTTTTAAACATTTGTAAGGTCTTCATCAATTTTTTGAAATTAATAAGTTTTTTCGATAAAAAAATAGCTGTTTTTCATCATTTCTTCAAGATTTACAGTATTTAATACGATATTTGAACTGTAATGAAAGGTTGAATGTCCAATCAATAATTCGTTCAGAGTAATAAGACATTTACCCATAGAAATAGAGGCAACATCTCCAAAAAACTTTCAAGAGTACAAAAATGTTAACATTTAGAAAGAGTTTGATTTTTAAAAATTCAATTGAAAATGATTTATTCTGGAATCTGACAAATTTTTCGCAAGGAAAAATGTAAAAAAGAAAATATATAAATTTCAAATCTATTTTACCGTTATAATTTATGATTGAAAACAAGAGTTGGATAATATAGTGTAATAAACTAATAAGGCTTATATTTATGTCATGAAATAGATATTTATGTCATAAGGCCGTGAAGTGGCGGTTTTCTGACAGCGATGATATTTCGATATGAGCTTAAGGTTTGTGGCGGGAAAGACCGAAATTTTAACGTCCAAGGCGTAGCCGAGGACGGAAATTTACGCTCGTTTTTGAACATTCGCGTCACAAACATTAAAGCGAATATCGAAAAAAAGTCGTTGTTAAAATCGCCACTAAACGGCCGAATGACATACAATATTTTTTGTTATTATCGCTCCATAAGTTTAACTTGTGAGAGATAGGAGGCAAATAATGATAAATTAAAATTTTATGAAGTTTCACAAGGGCAAAAAAAATTAATTTTATATTAATTATCTTTTTATTAATCTTAAAATCTTGCTCACGTCCAGAAAATGTAAATAACTTTTTATTAGTATTTATTTATGGCGTTGTTGTTATTTTATTAACATTAGGTCCGCTTTGTAATAAACTGCCAGAAGAGAAATAATTAGCGCCACTTAATAGTAACTAAGACTAAAAATTATCGGTCGGTACGCTAGAATGTACTTTTTTTTACAATCTCTCTCAATTTCGTCTGAGTGTACACGAAAAGTTCGTAAAAAAAGGAAGGGGTAAAACTTCACGGCCTAGGCCGTGAAAAAAAAGACGGTATGGTAGTCTCTAGAAAAGAGTCCCTTTACGGACGCCACCCAGCGCTCAGAAGTTGAACTTCTGGAGCGAGTATAACAAAAATAGTTATATATACGTTCTTTGAAACTTTATAGTTTAAATAATTAAAGTTCTCGTTTCAAAAAATTATCAAAAACTTTGTTTTCAGGCACTTCAATACTATTATTGTTCGCTATTTCTCTCGATTAAAGACATATATCTGTTAGATCAAATTTACAAAACACCCATTTTTTGTGAGTGCCTATGCCCATAAAAAATATCAAATTAATTTATGTAATAGAACTTTGGGTTTAGTAAAAAATAAGAAGTTAATTTTTCAAAAAATATACTCTGAAAAATGTTTTAATTGTTAGTGGAAGCAAAGAAAGTTTGTGAGTTTGTATGCGCGCTCAATCATTTCATAGATTTATTTAAATATAATTTTCATGTTGTAAAAAAGAAAAAAAGAATTTTTAATACTTAAATACAACACGTGTTAATATGAAAAAATAAAAAAATTTGATAATCAATGAAATTTAAATAAAAATTACAGTATCGTCTGATGTTTCATTTGCGAATAATATTCGAACTTAACTGTTTATGAACCACCAAGAGATATATTTCTCTCGTCAGACTTGTCGACAGTAGCTCCCGATTTGAAAATAGAGCATCATGGTGTGAGTAATCTATTGTGTCGACAGGTAATGAAAGCATTGATCGATGCAATGAGATGTAAAGAGACAGTATAATAACAATGCGAAATAGCATAGTTGGTCGTTCGCTCGAGAAAATCATTAATTAACTGCATATATGTTTCAACGTACGTGGCTACGATACCGATAAAGTTTCCGGTAAGCTTGAACAGTTTAGTTGTACTTATAGATTAAAAAGGTATTGTAATAGTGAGGGAAAGTATTTCAGAGAAAGAAGTACAAAAATCTAAGTATTATATAGACACCGGAGACACTCTAATCGGAAGTATCAGAAACTTGCAATTTTCTATAAACTGATACTGTTCTACAGTGTTAGTGATAGTAAAATTTTTATTACGATTGAGATGGAAATTATAAAAACATAAAATTTTTTTATTCATCCATAATATAGTTATTAAAACTTTCAAACATTTGCCGTTTATTAAATAAAGAATTTACTAAGGATTTATTTATAACAAAATTTAAATTAATTATATTCTCTTTTCAAGTTCAGTAATGCTAATAAACTTTATTTTCATAATATAGCAGAAGAATGCATAAAATTGTAAAAAAAATTTAATTGATTTAGTTTTATTGTGTTTATCTTACAAAAAATCGATTAATAGATTGACTATAACGAATTCAATAAATGATTTATCTAGTCATATATAAAAAAGTAATTATCTAAATTGAGCTAATTTTAATATTATAAATACAAATATAAGAATATTTAATAGTTGTAAATGGCTGGCGATTACGTACTAATTTTGCGATGAACTCAAATAGATTTGAATGATAACTTGAGTCTACTGAGGATTTTATAACTTTCAATGAGACTACATTCAAACTATGTGCATTGAACTAAAATTATACATGTCTAGAGAAGCGCGTGTTCACCCTGGTCAGTAGGTCGCCTCAGTCACCAAAGTTACCAAAAAAATGACCTACTATTTACTTAAATTTCGTGAGGGGAATTATTTAATAATTTAATTTATTTTGCTTAATTATAACTAACTTGATATATTTCCATGGAAAAATAGAATATTTACTTAAAATAAAAATCGTGCGACGGTCTCACCTGAGATACTGGTTATTTTTGAAAACTACTTCGAAAAACCTAAAAACGGTTAACTTTATAACTAGCCCTCGGAATGTATCCGAGTTCATTTTTACATTTTCAAATTTTTCAGACTTAAAAGTAGTCTTTTAACCGGTGCTTCAAGTTTTTCGAAGTAACAAATGAAATGTTAATTATTAAAGGAATTATTTAACTTCCCGCTTTAGAAATTGATAATTCAAGAAAATCGGAAGTTATTGATTTCGATCCTATTTTGAGAATGTGAGTTTTTATCAAATCCCCATGTTTTTAAGTTCTAGGAATCCGTTCCGACCATTTCCGGCTGGACTTTCCTCGCGTGTATGTGTGTGTGTATGTATGCATGTATGTATGTGTGTATGTATATAAACTCTTTACAACTTTTGAACTGCTGAACCGATTTAAACGCGGTTCGCGCTAATTGATAAAGTTCTTTTGCCGTTAAATTTCATGTAAATTTGAATCACTTCGGCTCGGTAGATTTTGAGAAATTTCAAAAATAAAATTTTCAAAAAAATGTTATTTTTAATAACTTTTAAACTGACGTAACAATTAATAACGATTATAATTCCAAAATCTAATCGACTCCTAACCTCAAAAAACAACATTGATTGCTGCAAGCCGCATTAAAATCGGTTCATTCGTTCAAGAGACACTTGATTTTGAAAAATTCCGAAAGTGTTTTTATAAAATAACCAAAATAACTAAAATTTGACGTCGAATCGTTTAGTAGGTAATAAATAATTTTTTTGTGCTTGAAAAACTATGTCGAATGCTGCAAGTCCCAACAAAAACGATTGATTCGATTGGAAGATATCGCAATTAAAAATTGTAAAAAACGTATGTATTCAACAACCACTAGATTTTTGAATTCGAAGAGCTCGTAAAAGTATAAAAGTTGTGCTTTTGAGCTCGACGAGCTCAAAACGTGGGGATACATTATTTCTCGATCGTTTTGAACTTGTATATAATGGAGATCCCGTATGGAGAAATATATATGTCAAAAATATATGTCGCACATATAATATATATGCCGCATATATTTACGCAAAAAAAAATATGTCAACATATATTTTTCACATAGATGCTGACATATATGCAGAGATACATGCTTACATATATGTAGACATATATGTAAGCATACACTGAAAAAAAAATTTCTAAGTTTGAGAATTTTTTTACTCAAATCAAGAAAGTTAAATTTTTCAAAATTATTTTCTTGATTCAAGTTAAATTTTTTTCTGTGTATCTCTAGACACTTATATGCGCACATATATGTGAACATATATGCACGCATATATGTGAACATATATCTACGCATATATGTGAACATATATGCGGACATATATTTAGCGCAAAAAAAATATATGTGAAAATATATATTTGCATATATTTTTCCATGCGGGGATAGCCGGAGGGTCAACCGTTTTTAAGATTTTTTGACAATATTTTTAGAAAATCATGAGAAATTTCTAATAAAACGAGGCATCTAACTCTTTTGCACGTTATTTTTTTACTATAAACAAAATAGTAGGACTTGCTTGAAATCTATAAAAAGACAACTCAATAGGAAGAGAATAATTCTGCCCAAATCGTTCATAACTTTACAAAATTAAAGCGAATAGCTTGGTGGTTTGGTAGAATATTTTAAACGGTACACTGAAAAAAAATTAACTTGCATTAAGAGAAAAATTATTGAACCAAGAAAATAATTTTGAGAGTTTCATTGTCTTCAATCAAGAGGAAAAATTCTTAAATCATTAAGAAGTAAAATTTACTTAAACCAAGAAAAATTTCATAGTTTAAGAATTTTTCTACTCAAATGTGGACGATAAAGTTCTTCAAAATTATTTTCTTGATTCAATTTATTTTTTTTCTGAGTAACTACACCTAGGAGAAGATGGTTTTCATCTAACAAATTTCAATATTACCATAAGGTCATTATTTATGAAGTTAGTAAAATAGGTTCGAAACGAATTACGTGGTGAGGCTTGCATACCTTTAAGAAGATCGAAATTCATCAAAGAGATAATTGGGCGTAGATGTGTTTTCATCTTTTTGGAACATAATCAACAATGAAATACCATTAACAACAGTATTGACTAACTCTCAAATCTAAGGATCTATTTCGTCTGGGCACCTAACAACCGCCATGAATCCATATCCAAAATTCGTACTTCTATCTAACCGACCGTACATGAATGTTGATAGTACGGGTCAGTAGAAGACGATGGAACGTGATTTCTGCTCTATACTTCGTAAGACGCGCTTTATCTGCCTTCATGTATTTAATATGCACTTCGACTAAAAATTTATAGCTTTGTTAAATATAAAAGATTCATTCTGACCTTGCAATCTCTAAGCATCTGAGAAAAAAATTTATCTCTGATACACACACATATCACAATTATACGTCCTACTATAAAAACTTTGCTTGCTATAAAATAACGACTATTATTGAAACTAATATCCGCTGTGACATGGATTTTCTATTGTAATGGCATGAATCGCCCTGGTTATTTCAATCAGAAAATAACTCTTCAATTCAAACTTTTTTACGTCTTTAACGACATATCTGAAAGCTAGGCTGAAAATTACTTTACTCATTATGCTAGCTGCCATAATAATAAAAATATTACAAAAAAATTTTGAGACGCATAGTACGAATGCATTGACGACTGTAAATTAGGGCGAGACGATAGTGCATTAACAATTTTAATCATTATGTAATAAAAAATAGTTGTTTGCACGATACATCATACTTTTTGACGGAGCAAAACAATATAAAAAATCATTTCATAACTTACATTTTTCTTTCAAAATAAGAGTTACTAGGTGAATATAATAACAGTGGACTTGATTTCGTAATAAATGCATCATCATAACTTATTTATAACAATCTTATTAAGCTCATATCGATAATACAAAATTCTTCATTTCACAAATATGAATTAATAATAAATATCTGTTTTACGAAATTAAAAGTAAGGTAAAATACCCAGTACTTGAACACCGTAAAAAAAGGGACTAATACTTGAAAAGATTTTTGATGTTGACATTAATACAAAATCGTGATACTTATTACAAGTAATATTCGTATTTTAACATTATTTGTTGACTTCATAATTAATTTTTAAGTTTTTAAAATTCTAAATCGATATAATTACATTTTGGTTAATTTAAAAGTTGGTATATTGAGAATAGCCGATAGATGCAACTTTAAATAGATGCTACTTTCGAAATGTAGGTACCGGGCCGATTAGGCTATTGCCAGCCTTTCCTCAAAAATATTTATTAAATATTAATAAATCTTGTTTAGTACTATCAAATATTTCTTTTATGTTAATAAGGCTTTGTTAGCATTAAAAATATTTCCTAATAATAAAGAAGTTACTTATTTAATTATAAATATTTGCTATTTCCAAAAAAGTCACTTGAAAAAAATTTAATAAATCAATTTATTACTCCTAAACAAATCCATCTATCAGTGCACTTCTTTTAACTAATAAATAAATTTTTATTTATTAAAAGTAGGGTTGAATACGTTTTACTTTGAAAATTGTTCAACTACTGGGTATTTCACCTTATTAAAGACCATTGAGAGACTATTAATTTAAAAATTTGTTCAGAAACTTATTAGTAGTATACCTTTTTTAAATCTTTACTAGCATCTAAATCTTCAGCTCTACGTTTTTCTGTGGACTGGGCTGGTGATAAAATTCTGGCTGGTTCTCTGAGAGGTTTGAGATCGACCTAAAATTTACAAAAAAAAATACATACATAAGTATGGTAAAATACATGCGATTGCATAAAGTTATTATTTAAAATGACTTTTTTCGAATTGTACAAAAATGTTATGCTCGTTACAGTTAGTATGCATATTAAATCAAAGTCAATAGGTAGATAATTATAATGTTTGATAAAAAATGAACTATTACTTTCTATTTTATTATAAGTTTTATAATAAAATGGTATTTTCGCTATTCATCTGAAACTATCTAGTTCTGGTTTTCTCCAGACATTGATACTAGCATTTTTAATGCAACTTATATGAAAAATATATGTGTAACGCGGGATGAAACACGATTTCAGACCGAGTGATGCCAGCCCTCGCTTCGCTCGGGCAGGAAACTTCACTCTGGTCTGAAATCGTTTTGTTTCATCCATAGTCACACAATATACTATTAACTAAGAAAATACAGGTTATTGTCGTTGAAAATATTTTTCACATATTAAAATGGAATTCTTCACGAAATACAGTACAGAAATTTAAAAAAGTTTTTTCATCTCTGGCAGAGTATAAGTATAAGATAAAAAGGCCCAAAAATAGAGAAACCGTTTTCAAACACTAAGAAATAATGATTTCAAAGATTAGAATTTACCAATAATTATTACGCTTGCATTTCGGTCAACTGTTTTTGCAATATTTATAAAAACGAAGTAATTAATTTTTAAATTCTACATCAACTTGTTTTATTGAAAAATGATATTTACATTCAAAATCAATAGCAAAGGCTTTAAGTTAAAAAACTTATAAGTTGCGTATCTTTTCGAACATGAAAAATATTTGAGTATAATAATCGTTTTTAATGGTAATGGTATGGGACCATATTTATTAATTGTTATGGGAATGATTTTTATTCATAGTATATAATATAGGGATGATATACATAATGATAGGAATGATTACCATTATAATCATGGTTATCATTATCCGAACAAAAACAGTTTCACTGTAAAAAAATCGCGCCAAGTCCACGTTCATAAGACTATTAAGAAAAAAAAATTAGTTTTTTCTTTACAAAAAGATATAAAATAAAAAAATTAAAAAATCCAAGTAACCGATATGATTGTTTATGATTTTCGGAAATTAAAAAAAATTTTGTTGTAAATTTAAAAATTAAAAAAACAATTTTGGAACGTATTTAGTGTGCGTTGTTGCGAAATATTTTACTTTTAATCTGATTAAATTTATTAATTTCAAGTGTTATAACTGTTATAAGTGAATATAATTAATTAATAACAGTAAAATAAAGTATGAATTACTGTTATAATATACAATTTAGGAAAAAAAAGTACCGTAGAATTAAATAAAATTTTGCAACCTCAAAATACCGTTCTGCTTACAGTAAACACAGTCGGTAGTCTGGCGCTCCGTTGACAACGGATTTGAACGGAACTTGGCGCCAGATTCTACCGAATCTGTGGATCACTTTTATAATTTAGATGTTCATTATACCTCTTACCATACGTGCTGGAAATTTTTCCATACTATATATTGTAATTATTCCATAAACTTCTCTCCACGATACATAATTGTGATTATATTCTTCTCGTAACCACAACTATTAATCTGGTTCTTCGTATACATGCTTATTTTTGTATAGAATACTGTTTTAGTCAAGAATTACTTGAATTATAGATTTGCTATATTCAAGAACGTTGCACGTGGTAATTTTGGAAGTTATCAAACACCAGAATAGCTATTACACTAGCATTTAAAAGCTTTTTTTAGGAGTGTTTGAAATGAGTAAAGATATTGAAAGAGTTGAATAAAATCATCCCGTCTGAAAAAAGGCTATTTTCAGCCTAATTGTTGAAGGATAATAATGTAATCTGAGCCGACTAAAGTTCATTGTTATGGTATTTAATTCCACAAAATTTTGATAGACTTATAAAGCTACTAAGACTATATTTATACCTACAACCTACATTTTAAATTTTAATGTGATTAGTGCGTGAACATGTGTAACGATTGAATTTATAGATAAATTAATTTTACTAATCTCATCACTTTTTATGTGTTTGAAAAACTACTTCTAACACTGTAAAAGCAAAAATAAATCGATTAATTTGAAAAGAAATGTTGCCTGAACTTTTGAAATATTATTTTTTTAAACAGTTTTCACATTTTTCGGTTCGGAGAGCTCAATAATTAAGAAACATACATGTTTTCGAGTACTCAGAGTTTAAAAATAGCGGGAATTCTCAGGGATGCTCTACACGGTCAACCGTCTTTTGAAATTGTTAGAGAATTTTTTTATAAGCATTATCTTTTAAATAATCAGATTGATTTTAATGTGATTAATAGTATTCAATATAATTTTTCTAGCATATAAAAAAGAATAGATTTTAAAATTCACAGGTCTGTAAATTTTAACGCTGCTTGAAAAAAAAAGTTATTTTTTATTTTTTAGAATAACTTAATAGATATGCAGCAATTTTTTTACGATATATCTATTTTGTATAAGCCAATTGATTTTGATTTAATTTGCGACGTTTAACGGATTTTTAAAATACAAAAAACTAGCTCAATTTTAAAATACTATATTCATTAGTGATGAGTAATAACTGAGTTGAAAAGAAGTAAGTACATGTAAAGGATCTGGTAGTTTAAATAATAAAACATTTAACATGTAATTAGGAGATTTAGATTGAAATTCTGGTTTAAATAGTCTTATATTCTTATCACAGCAATTTTTTAAAATCAACATTCTCAATACATTGAAATTGAATACTAACTGTTTCATAAAATAGTGCATCGTTCAAAAAAAGCTGTTTAGCTATAACATTACAAGTATGATTAGCAATCAATCGTTGTAACCTCAAATTTTATTCAATTCTAGTGGAAACTATGTATCGAAACTCTATTTAACGAAAAACTCGATATAACGTATTTGAAAAACCCAAACAAAAAGAAAAAATGCGGATGTATGATATGAACAGATCAATAAAACAAAGTAAATATTCTAGAACTTTAACTCATATTTAGTTTCTCTGGGTTCTTTATCACAATGCATGATCTTTAGAATAGTGGTAGTGATTGAAAACTTCGGATGAGGAAGAAGGCGGAGGGTGGTACAACGTCGCACTGACGTTAATTAATGCGCCCCAAAGTGTTCCTGGCACTACCGGTCTAGCCGATTTACTTTCATCGCTTATTCTAGCTTTTTTGTCTGTATACAAATAAGAACACAATTTCATTATTTATCCATATGGTTACTATCTAAAACGTATTGCTGCAATCTAACATTTTACTAATGAGTTATAGTTTGTGCTGTAACACGCTCCAAACATAAAACATTAGGTACTCCAAATTCTTACTTGAAAATAAATTCTTGAATTCACATACACAGTAAAAAATTTTTCGTCAAATTCAACAAAAAAAATTTGTGATGACTTTTTCTACACAAACTTAGTGTCAATTCAACACAATCTGTGTGTAGCGATGAAGATAAGTAATTACAGCTCTGTGTTAAAAGTATTACAGCTTTGTGTTAATGTAACATTGAAAAAGTGTTACTTAGGGATCGAATAACATTTTTTTACGTTGAAAAACGGATCGATCGAACAACACAAACGATTGTGTTAAATCAAACACTACACAGAAAAAAAAATGTTCTTGAATCAAGTATATATTTTTGAAGAGCTCAATATTCTTGGCTTGAGTAGAAAAATTCTTGATTTAAGAAAATTTTTTTTGATTTAAAGAAATTTTACTTAATTCAAGAATTTTTCGTCTTGATTCCAGACAATTACCCTCTTCAAAATTTTATTCTTGGTTCAAGAATTTTTCTCTTGAGTCGTTAATTTTTTTTTCTGTAGAAAATGTTAAATATTCGACATTAAAATTTTTTCTCTTTACATAATAACGAAAAATTTTAACTGTGTATACGTTCAACTTTGCCGAAGAATTATATTATATTATTATTATTATTTTTTTTTAAAGATTTAAGCTTATTCTGTCATAGGTATGTGGTAAAAAAAAACACTAAATTAAACACACTGATAAATGCTATAATGATCTTATAACGAAATCGCGCAGATGTAAAACTATTGTTCATTTCGACAATTTATAAATGAACGAAAAACTTCGATATTTAATCAATAAGTCATATAGTCATTGTAATCATTGATCAAATAATATCATTAGCTATGAAGTGACGGAAAGAAAACATGAAAGTTTGGCAAAAATTTGTGCTTAAGATATAAAATCAATAGTCTTATACGCCTACAAACATTGAACACCCGTAGTATTACATAAATCCGCCGACCATCACTTGCGAATGTAGTTTGGTACACAGTAATATCTTTAAAATCAAATTATTAATTCTCAAAAAAAATGTGAGTCCTACTTTTAAACAATACTCAAAAATATATCCGTCTATATATTTTTTATCTCTACAAGTTCAAATAATAATTAATATTGAGTTCAGCATATTATAACGTACCAATAAGTGCACTTTCAAAAGTTTAGAGCTTGAAAATATCGGAAAAATTTCTGAAGGAATGAACTTTTAGGTGACGTTATTAACAGTGAGGAAGTGTAAAAATAAATTCGAAATAACTAAAAATCAAATGTACGGTGCTAAAAGTTAGTTTTCATGACAATTTATAAAAAAAATGTTTTCTTAAATCTTCAAAAATCTAAAAAAAAAATGAGTGATTATCGAAGACCTACGACCAGATCGAGCTTAAAAGTTATTAAGGAGATAGAAGTCTTTTTTGAAAATTTCCAAAAAAATCAAAAGATGCAATCACTTAAAAAAAAAATTTGATGTTCAAAACTCAAAAATCACATATGTAAATACTTTAAATAATTTTTTGTATTTTTTTCTTCAATTACATAAAAGGTTCTAACTGGTCCGTTATTGAAGAAATTATATGCAAAAATCTGAAATAAGCGACTTTTTTGGAATTTTGATATCTTTAGAAGGGGTACTTAAAAAAATCTCAAAATTTGCACGAATGGGTTTTTCGATTGGTGCTAAAAATGTCAAGAAATTGATGAAGTAAAAAAAAATTTTTCAAACCGTCCGATTTAGAAAGCCCCATATATAAAATCATGATTAATTAAATTCGCTCGTATAGTTTTTAAAATTTGGCCAAGCCAATAAAAAAACTCTGATTTGAAATGGTCAAGCTAAGAAATATCTAATGTATTTTGATTCATTGAGAATGTCAAATGTTGGTTCTAAAGAACAATTCTAGTATACTTTACACCCCTGTCTTTGTCTTTACGCCAGCGCCATATATTTGATGAAATCTTACTTAATGCATTTATTTTTATGATTCCACAAGTTATAGGGAACGAAAATCTACTACTCTTTCTTGTGCCTAAAATTACGCTGAGATTCGCCAATCGAATTAAAATCAAATAATTCTTTCGAAACATATTCTTACATGAAAATTTGCTTCAAAAATATTCTCAAAAATCTGTGAAAGTTGCATTTCTTACTTCGAAGAACTCAATAACTTCGCAAAAGGTATACTTTAAGCGCTCAGAGCTCAAAGCATTCAAAAATAGCAAAAAGTCTCGAAAATAGATTGCCTGATCAACCATTTTCTGAAATTCTTTTTCAGGTATTCTTGAAAAAAATATTATACACTACACCGGCAGAAGTTTGAAAGCCCTGATGCCCTTTTTGAGTAATATACTATTTTTTCAGTGTAACTGTGTACAGAAAAATATTATATGTAATTGAAATTAACATGTAGGAGAGGGTGAGCACGACGGCCCCCTTGAGCCGGTTATTTCGATTTATGGTTTTTAACCATTAAATTCGTTTATTTTCTGTCTATTTCAAATAAATCAGTCGAAATTTTGCAGAAAATCGGAAAAAAAAATTTTTTTTTTCTTGGGGTAAGGGGACATCCATTAATTACGTGAGCTCAGAATGAGGGGGGAGGGGTCCAATGAAATCTCCCCAAATCTCATCTAAGCCGAGGGGGGGGATAATCAAAAATCTCACTTCAACTTCAAAAAATATAAAATATTACAGACATTAAAAAAAAAATTATTTTGAGTGTTTATTTTGCCCGCTAAAATAAATTTTATGTCTATTAAAATCATTTACGCTGATGATTTAAACAAGCTCTTCTCAGAGCTAATGGTGGATTTCTTTAACATCATAATTATAATATAAATTATAATATGTATGTATAAAAAAAGTACATGAGTCTCCATGGATTGAGTAAAAATTAAAAAAAAGTGTTGTTTTTATGTTTTTTTTGCTTTGAATTTTATTTAATTTAAATAAATTAACTATAGTATACTTGAATGGTTTATTATTCTCCCGAATAATAAAAATAATTTTAATTTATAGTATATTACATACCTAGGCCAGTAAAATAAGAAAAGTCTCAGACCACATGTAATTGTTGGCCGAGGCGAAGCCGAGGTTGACAAACATGTGGTCTGAGGCTTTACTTTTTACTGGCCAAGGTGTGTATACTATTTTTCTGCTCGACGTAGCCGGAATGTGGCAAC